GAAACAGATTTAATTACTTCAATTATGTTCGAACAAGCAAAAACTTTGGCACCAGCTCGATACCAGCGCATTTTACGTGACGGTACAATCGGTGGAACTGAGCCAATGATCAAGCGAAAAGAAAAAATAGCTGACGCCAAAATCGTGGCTTGTAAGCAACTAGTTTCTTCGGAAAGCTTGAAGGTTAGTTTCTGTTTAGTTTTGCCAGGTTTTAGCTGCAGCCGTCATCAATTCTTCTAACATCGTACATTTCGTCGCACTTTGTTCATATATTTCTCCTGTTCATATGCCTTAGAAGCAAACTGGTCGGACGATAATTCATTTTTCATGTTGGGACAATTTTGTTTCCATTGTAGTTCATGGGGCTTATTTATTTTATAAAATCTTTGAACGTAATGTAAGAAGTTTTAGGACTGGGGAACAATGTTTTGCACTTCATATTTCAGTTTCGTAAGTAGAGCAAAGTCACGAGAAGGTGGTGAGACTTTGAATCTGATGCTTCTGCAATGCGTATGTCACGAATTAATTGTTGGTTCTTAGTTGTCAATGATAATAAGCAGCCTTATAGATAAAATACGCAACATTTACGAGTTTGGTAAAGTATATTTTAGTTGCTTGTATGTCGCAGTATGTTGTAGATCTTTTTCAGAACAGTTCTATTTACTAGTTTCAAATCGATTTTCTTCACTATAGACTTTTAGTCATGGAATCATTGGTTTCGTTTGTTAAAGATAATTTAAACATTAGGTCAAGTATTAGTTAATTTTTTGTAACGGTTCCATACCTGAATTGGCACTTTTATCAAATCTATGATTTGTGATAGTTTTCATACGTACCGAAAAACTTCAGATGTTTGAGGGTATGGGAGACTAAAGCGTTTTGAACAGTGAAATGGAATTGTCATTACCATTTAATATTATCTTGTCGTGTTTCTTCCATCTTATGCTTCTGTACATCTTTCTGGACAGTGAAAGTAAGAAGAGTATACCGTTTTCCCTGCACTTTTTCTTGCCGAGTTTCACCCACGCTTTGCACTTGTCATTCTTTTCAAGTGATCTCTGTTCTAATATTTCATCTACTTAATGATGGCGCACTGCGTTTTGCGTTTTATATTAGGTAGTTTGTAAATTTATTATTACATACATGCATGGATTGCAGGATTCAGATGAAAACATATCAATGTATTCGGCTAGCAGCAGTCATATTGAAACGAAAGAAAAACGAAAGAGACGCCCATCACGTTGGGGTACTCCTACTACTTCAAAAAACCATGATAATACTATTGTAACTGCTTCAATACCTCTTCCTTTGGGACCACCGCTAACACAGTCAGCAGTTTCTTTAGAAAATATACCAGTACCTTCAACAGATCAACAGTCACCACAGTTGCAAGTGGCATTACCTTCAAGGCCATCTGCGCTTAACAGTATGATTTGTCTTTCGTTACTTTAAGAAATTTTAAGGCTTCAGCAAATAATGCACATCATAGTTGGCCTTATCTAGATGTTCTTACGTGTTGCACACATATTCTGTATGATATGTTTGTATTTGTTGGGTATTCCATTACACAAGTTATATAGCAAAATGTAGAATTATGAAGTTTCGCTGTTGTAGAATGCAACTAATTTAATCAGTTACATTTTTGTAGCTGCTCCATCTACATCTTTTACGCTCAAATCGGCATCGATACCATCATTTGGAATGGCTAGCGGACAGCCGCAGATTAATTTGGCTCCATTTGCTGGTTCAGGTCTAGGCCAACAACCTCTTGGTTTGAGCCAACAGTCTCTGGTTACTCTAGGACAGCAACAATTAACCAGTCTGGGACAACAAACTTTAGCTAGCCTAGGACAACAACCAGTGCCAGGTTTAAACCAGCCTCAGTTGGCGTCTCTTGGACAAGGATCATTAGTTCAAATGCAGCCGTCTTTGCTGCCGAATTTCTTCTTACCACCGCTGAATTTAGGTGCAAGTCAGTTTTTTAACATTTACTTGAACTTTTCTTTTTTGACGTAGAAATAACGAATTGATTGATAAGTCAGAACATTTACACGTTGTATTCATGATAATGGACTTTGGATTTTCATTTACTCTGTTAGCCACCATTAATCTTTAAAACAAACTTTTAGTGAATGGTTTATTGGCAGCAGGTCTGCTTGCGAATAACAATCCTTTGGCAGTTCCACCAATGACTCAACCACTAGCGCAACCATCTTCTGCAACTACGACTCCTTTCATGTTGAATCCAGTGCAGCTTTCAGCAGCCTCAGCTCAGCAACTGAATCAACATTTTGTAAATTTAGCAACAACGCTACGGCGAAATGTAGATACAGCTGCTGATTCCACACATTTATCTCAACCTTCTAAACAGCCGGAGGGCGTTCCGCCACCCCCACCGGTGGTAAAACCAACTGAATCTACATCCAGCAATATATCTCTTTGTGAACCGCTGGCTGAAAAAATCAGGAAATTAATTGAAGCTAGTAATGTAAGACCTTTATGCGACTCCAGTGTCGAGGATGGTGGTAAAAATGGTGTTACAGTAAATGTGCGTTTTTATTGTTCCTTAATTTCTCATTCTATCTAAGTTCACAGATCTCATTGCAGTTTAGCAATTTTGTAATAAAAGAAAGCGTTAGCCACCTTTAAATAGAATTAGTACATCTTTCATTGTGTTTAAGGATGCAATAAACAGCGTGGTGCTGTGTGATGACTCTAAAATGGGTGAGTCGGGGCGTAAAAGTGCTAGTGCAGATGACGAAGAAAGTGGGGAAGTTGTCGGAGTAAAAAAATTTCACAAGAATGGTGTAATGTTCGAAGAAGCTCGACAAATGCTTTCTTCTTCACTCAAGAAGATTTACAGGTATATAGATTTCCTGGCGTTAATCAGATTTTGAGAAATGCGGTGACTTTTTGACTAAAATCCTTTGTCGTTATGTTTGTTCAGTTTTTTTTCATTTCCGTCTCTTTCCAGAATGAAGCAGATTACCAAACAGGAGTATAAAGAAATAATGAAAAAAGGTGTAACAGCGTTATCTCAGCGCACAAAATTGGATCAAAGAAAGGTGGATGAGTATGCAAGGAAATACGTAGAGTGCGTTGTACATCGTCGTAAAAAGCGGCATTAAGCTTAGCATTCACTCTGTGATCCTGTGTGTATTTTTTCAAAATAGATCTTAAAAGAGTTAATATGGACCAAATTGTATACTTCGGTGAGAGCGTGTGCAGGCTTTACTGTGGAACTTGTGCGGTATCTCCAGATACTGTATTTACAGAAACCAACACGCATTTCAGGTGTTCCAAATTCTGCACTCCTTTAAATATACATTCTGTTGGTTTTATTCAAGCAGAGTAAAAGCGCATGCTGTTTTCGCTTCTTCAAATAATTCTAACAAGCGACTAAGCAGTACTTTTGTAATTTTTGCCATGAATTTGTCAACTGTTGTCCAGCATACACATGATATTGTGTTATTTCACCATTATGGGTGTGGTCATATTATAGATAATAATAAATATGAATGTACCAAAAGCATGACAGCCCCAATGTGTTCGGTTTCTGATTATATTGAGCGACATTTACTCAGTAATCAGCAAATCTATTACAGATTTCTCTTTCTTTTCCTAGTTTCTCCCTCCGTTTGAGTCAAGGCAACCTCGCATACTAGATGGGTTTTGCGTCCCTGACGTAACATCGCCGAAATGCCACCACCTTTCACCTGTGGCGCAATGCTTTCTGCTACAGCTGGATTGTGAGACTACGTACGTTCCGGTTTAGATTTCCGAGAATCTGCTCAGAAAGATGAGTACGTCGTGGAATTAGGCGTTTAGTAGGACTGGAGTCTTGCACACGGTACGATGCGGTCCGATTAGTTTAAACTTGGAAATTTCTCCTATTCAAAGAAAGCCTACAGCATTTCGGAAAAATACTTTGACCTGGAAACATAAAATTTTATAATATGGGTTTCTCATCCTGTGCTGTGCGTGTTGCGAATACGAAAAATCCTTCTTCAAAATAATAGGAAACAATTCCAACATTCAATTAGCACAATACACAGAACTGTTCTAAATTCTCAATAAAACATGGAAGAATATTAAACACAAAATCTGCTAATAAAAACAACAGAACAAAGCAACCGTGATCATGCGATTGGTGAAAAAAGGCTGTAGCACTACGCGTCGTCACTTATACAAGAGGAGCAAAATGAAACACGGCATTCGGTTCATTCTCGGGGTCAATCTTCCGCAGCTCTCGCAATGGGACGCGAGGTCTCGTTAACTGTTCCTCTTCCCACAGCACACTGCAACAAACCGTTCACTACCAAAGGAGAGAAAAGGTATGGACAGAATTGCCAAACGGCTACTTTGTCCGTTTGAATTACATAACTAATTTACGTGAATTACGCGGCGGTTGATGGTAAGAGTTTTTAATAAACTTGCCGCTTGAAATGTTCCACTTCCAACTCAAGAGGGTCGAGAAACTCCAATTCACTATCAGGACGCGGTTTGAATGCTTCATGTGGGTCAAACTTCATCTCTGCGATTGCGACGGCAATGCGTGGATCACCTGGTTCAAAAATCATCGGATTCTGGTTGTGGGGAATCTCGCCCTCTTTCGCGAAAGCCGCAAGTTTTCGAGTTTCCGAGTCATAATCCGCCAATGGACTGGATGACGAAAGAAACGTTTTACATGCCTCATTTCTTTTTGCACGGACTGCTGCTGTTAACTGACTGGAACCAGGCAAAGCTCCACCAGTTCCAATCTTTAATATAAATGACATTAATATAGTACGTGCAGCGTCATGAAATTTTTCCCAAAAAATCGAAAATATCATTAAATTAAACTATCTCAGGCAAAGCAAGCTGCACTGTCATAGCTCAAATAAATGAGACCACTGCTGAAACTTGATATTTTTTCATACATTTATGTTGACATGTTTTTTAAGTCCGAAATACTAACCTTTCTGCAGAATATAAAATCTGAATACTCGTTCCGATCATGATCAAACCTAATAAGCTTACTTCCAACAAGAAATGATGAGCGAAATGGAAGACCGATGCAGCTTACCTTGTTCGATTGCGCCGTGTTGTTTACGCTTCCCGTGGTACTCATTATACCATTTCGATGACTGACCAGAAATTCGGTGTTTATGTACTGTGGAGACTTCTGTATTTTGGTAGCCACGATATCCTGCTCGAGAGAAGGGAAATTCAATAAATCTCGTGTAGGCACAGATAAGCTATCCGAAATCACATTATTTAGAGGAATGGCAACATTTGATGAACGATGTTTCGGACAAGAGTAGGAATCGAGAAGCGTAAATCCCTGTGTAGCGGTGTTGGTTTTGGTACTCAGAAAATTTTGTGCTGTGCCATTATTATTGCATAAATTATTTTGTAAAGGCATATTCATAGCGCCAAGAGATGGCATTTGAGTTGTATTATGGTTCCCTTTGAACGAGACATCCATGTCACGCACTGAGAATGGTGGACCAGAGAGAGATGGTTTGGAAGACGAAGATGATACGGATGAGGCCAGTGTTGATAATGAAGACGTTTCTGACGCGTATCGCGGCAATTTCTGAAAACCAAAGCAGGAAAAATTTGTGGCCGTCTGGAACGATTTAGCATCAAGTACAGGGATCGAAGAGATTGGTCCTCTTTGCAACATATCTGTTAGTGGTGCATTAACTGGTGGTGGAATTGGATATTGACCAGATATATGAGCTTTATCATTTATTGCAATTTGACAGGTCCTTGCTTCAAGCGATGGATGAGTTCGTAGTGGTTGCAAAACCGGATCGTGCGCAAAGTTAGCGCTTGCTGCTGACAATATGGAAACACTTTGGTTCGATGAAGATACGACACACTGATTTAATCCATTAATAAGGTAAACTTGAGGTTGTCCCCCAAAATTTGTGTAATAACCAACTCCGCCCTGGTAAGTCCCAAAGCTCAAGGTGTTCGTTTGTGAAGGGGGAGGTACTGGTAAGACAGGGAAAGGAAGTTTCTGCGATATATTTGTGTTACTAAGCCCACCAGGTCGCATTTGTGGTATATCAGAAAGATTTATTTTAGGAAGCGGAGGCATTTTAGAAGGGCGTTCTGTGATCGGGTAGCTTACGCTTGGAGGATGAGATCTGAGTTCTACTTCGGACAGAACTGTAGAAGCTTCATTCACTGTTACAGCTGCTGAAGGGGCATCCGATTCCTCGTCTAGTGGAAGCTTTACAGCTGGCTGAATATCAAAACCTACTCCTTTGCTTTCGTGGTCTTCTGTTTTTAAAAACATTGCTGCGCAGTTGACTGAAAACGTCGTTTCAGATTTAACCGCACTATTTTCATTTTTAGAACCATTGTTATCCTTTTTTACCACTAAATTCGCTTCTACAGTCTGTTCCTTCGCGCATGAATTTTCTTTTTCATTTTCTCTTTTTTCTTCTAATTCGGATCGCTTTGGAACATCGTTTTTTTTCAACTCTTCCTTGTTCTGTGTTTTCGATCGTCCAATCTTGGAGGTACCGATTTGCTCCTTTGTTGATCCCAACTGCTTGAGTTTCGGACCACATTTTGGATCAATCCAATACTCAAACTCCAAAACTGGTTCCTTTCGAAGTTCAACTCCCTGACTTTCTGATTGCTGTCCATTTTCTTTTTTTCGATCGTGAGCATCTTTTTGTTTCTTTCCTCGTACTCGATCCTGCAATAATCCACTGTCACAAACACAACCTATTGTCACGAAAAAAAAGAGCCAAGTTGCACTTTTTCACAAATTTATAGCTTGCCGAATATTTTTTAAAATGTGTTACGCTTGCACGCTGTAGCAAGAAAAAGTTATCAGTGTTCGAGGTTCATTTTGCCCTGTCATCTATTTTCGTGGGAACCACAGTACGAGGTCAGATGTAAATGTCAACCCAAAAGCCAAAAACACAATTTCGATCTCCTTCAACCATCCTAAATGTTTAATGCAATTAAAGAACAATTTATAATCTATAGGGACACACCGCTTTCTTTTTCTTTGCTTCAGGCTTGTTCTGTTTTTCTTTCTTCACCTCTTGTTGAGCTACATCCTGTTTTTTCTTCTTTAGAAGCTCAGCTTCAATAACTTTCTTTTGCTCTTCTTTGAGTTTTCGTTCTCTGCCCTGTCTTTCCTTTTCTTCCTGAAACTACTGATATCATTTCGATTGTGAAAGTGCACAAAACGTAAATAGCCATCGCGAACGAAAAACTGTCAATGATTAAAAGAGATACAATAAGGAATGCTTTATATTCTATCTCTGTAACCATACAAAAATAATGCAATTCACCAAATGATTTCGACTAAATCTTTACAATCATGTCAAATTTGAAAGGACAAGCCAGGTTGTAATTTTGGCTGAAAGAAATTGGAAGTTGGAGTCATAAAAATCTGAAAGAATGACAGCGGCCATTTGGCCGTCTACGAAATCAAGTATTTCAGCACCCAAATCGGAAGTACCAGGCTGACGAACAAACCAATCCGGTCCAAAAAAAGAAATGAACAGGAAGAACTTCCCGAGTTTTTTTTTTTTCAAACCATCTTTTCCAGTAATATTGCTAAACTAGAACCTGTCAGAGAGCAAAAATAACAGCATAATCAAAACCCCAACTTGTTTTCGGAGTTTCTGTCGAGCTCGTTTAGCAGCTTTACTTGCTGCAGCTTGTGCCGCTGCAATATCTTTTTCGTTAATGTAATCCAAAATTTCTTCAATAGGCGTGTCAGGAATAACAGCGGACGATTTTTTAGATTTCTCATTAGCAGTAGCGTAGACCAACTTTTCCTCTAGATTTTTTGTGTCTGTTCCAGGGTGCTGAAATGCCAGTTAGTGACTGCATGAAGTACAAGTTTGGATTTAATGGCTTTAAAATACGGCAAGTCAAATTAAAATGCAAATAAAGGGCAAACTAAATTAAAACACCTAAAAAAATTTCTTCAAGGATTTCAATTTCTCTCATAAAATGCACCAAATATTGGGAAAATGAAGATAACCTCCTGCACAGTTCGGCGTTTCAACTTCATCCGAAGCCGTTCCCTTATCTGAGCACGGCCTGATTTAACATTCTCTGTAGCGGCATGTCCAAACATCTCACAATAACAACAATCACAGTGCCCATGTCGTCCATCCCGACCTGTTCCAGAAGCTGCCCTTTTATTTTTTGCCTGAAATTAGTACCTAGAAGTTAGTACAAACGCAGACATGAAATAATAACTAAGTCACTCAAACGAAGATCACTGATTAAAATTCATGCCTATCAGGTTCAAATTAGACTTACGTAAGCAAAAACTAGGATTGTAAAGAACTGAAAAGCGATTTGAAAAGAAAAAATTAAAAAAAAATTTACTTTATTATCGCAAGAATGATGACGATGTGGATGCTGTTTATCGGGCGCTTCGCAATCACTCCATTCTTCATCTGTGCCCTAAAGAGAACTAAGTTTATACAGATGTTTCGATTTTCTTGCAATGCAAACAGAGAAACATGGATATCTCACTGATCATGCACTGCATCGTATCTCACACAATGCAAATGCATGATGAGATGGTAAATATAACAGATACTTCGTAAAACTAACCTCGTCATCGTCATCTGTCAGATCATCGATATTATCTGTCTGACAGCCAAAAAATTCTTCCTTCGAAACTCTGAACTCATTCTCAACTCGCTTACCATCATCGTACTTACAATCAACTTTAGCGGATACACCTGCATTAGTGCTTCCATCATAATAAATAGAATCTGTCACTAATATTGGTAATTGTTTGTGATGGGAATCGAGGCACTAACTGCACACTTCAAAAGGCTGTAGTCCATTTTGAAGAATGTTTGAGATTTTTTTCCTCACAAAGTAACAATCTTTTACTTTCTTTTTTTTTTTTTTAATTTTACTATTCTATTATCGTGATACGAAAGCAAAATCTAAATTATTGGTGATGAAAAATATCTTTTCGTCGAAAATCAATAAGCGGGAGAGATACCTGTTTTATTTTGCCTCAGTCCGACAGCTTGCTTTAGAAGTTTTTTCAGCTTTCCCTCCTCATGTAATTTTCGTACTTCTTCAGGAAAAGTATTAATATCAAATTCACCCAAATCAACGCTAAAATCAATAGCTGCTGTCGAATTAGACGTTGTATCCAAATGTTTACCCGTCTTGCTGGGTAATGTTTGCGCCGCTTTTTGCTGCAAAAGCCTCAATACCGAAACGTTACATTTCCCGCCTTTTCCGGCGCAAAAATCTTTCAGGAAAACAAACCTTTTCGACGTTGAATGCCTTGCTAATATCGAAGATAGTTCTTTGTTCTGTCAACTGCTTAGCGATGGCAGCAGCCAATGTTTGTTTCGACCAAAGTTGTGCCAAGTCATCTTGCTCGATTTTTTTTGACGACTTTCCCTTTTTATTTACTGAATCCGACGAGGCCGTAGAAAAACTAACCATCGTTCCTGCAAAAATTCAGTGTAATTACAAATAAAATGAAAAATGACGGGTTGTCATACTCAATCCACCAAAACCGGCTACTATTACTGGGACACGGATGTAACAAAAGGATCGACAAAATTACTTACTGGTCTCTGGAATGTATATCATTTCTCTATTTGTTTTTTCTTGGTGACAAGTTCTTACAGTCGAATTTCGACTAAGAATTTTCCGCGCTGAATCGTAGCTGAAGAATAAATCCATTTTCATATTTCCATGTGATAATGAGCAAGGAAGAATTTGCATTAAATAACTTTAGTAAATTTAAAAGAATCGAAACTTCCAGTTTTTCCAAGCCAATTATGACGTACCGCGATTGAAATCTAAATGACCCATTCATCCTTAGTGCGTTACGGTAGAAAAAGTTCGATATTATAGATGAAAATAACTGAAGCAATGTAATAAGTGTAACGATCGGTCAAATCCCTAATAACATCACATACAAAAAACGCATGTTAAAGTAACGGAATATCTTTTCACGCGTCTTCATATCCGTACCCTCATTGTACTACATAATTTTTCAAGCAGATCTTCCACTGTAATGATTCAAAAGCATTGACGCAACTTGCTTCCTTATCACAAAATGACTAGCATGAAACTGTATACACGCAAACATTTATGCACATCCCTTTCTCAGTGGCAAACGAACGCGACCTATCCAAAGAGAGAAGCACGCGCCAACCTGCTAAAAGAAGCAGGTCTCGAGTGGAAAAAACTGGCTAAGAACAGAGGAACAGCTAAGTACGGTACCTGTTCGCGTTTCAAAAAACCGAGAGCAGCGGGCTTGCAAACCTAAGATTTTTGCGCATATTTAATATCAGTCACATTGCGCCAACACTTTTTCATGAGAATGTGGCTCAAACAACGATGCTAGGTAGGTTAAACTTTCAATATCCTAGATTGAAGGGTCTTTGCTACAGAGGACTACGCAATGTTAAGAGCACCAAAGAACTTTATGGAATCATTAATGACAAAAAACTAGTGGCTTCTCGCCTCTTGAAATATGTATTTGATGGGATCTGAGCAGCTCGCAAATATACTCAATTGAAAACAATGACTATGAAACGCCTTACTTCTCATCTTTGACAATAGTTCTGAGGTCAATAGCTTCATCTTCTTTCATCCAGTCCTTGGACAAACACTCCCTCATACTTTCTAATAGTCGGCCCTGAAGTATATCTTCACTAACACTAACATTTAAAAAATGAAATTTAAAAGCGAAAATGAACTGAGCAAACCTCACAACAGCTAGCAGATCAATGAATGAAATGATCATATAGCTTCATGCTTATATATATA